ATTTGGGCGGAAACCACCCAAGCCTTTTGTACGGCTAGCAAGCCAATAGCTAGCCACCACGTGTGCTTACATTAAGACTGGCCAATAATGTGGCGCAAATCCTAATACAAATGGCAGTGACTCCTTGCATCGCGCATTGCTATAATGCAAAAGAAATGCACTATGCAAACAAAGCTACAGAACTGGCGGGAAAAGCTCCTGCACGCGGGTTCTCTGTTGCAGCAGAACACTCCACCGTGCAAAAGAGCTGCAATTTGGCGGGAACATGATTTAGCGATGCCGAAGCACACTCAAATAAAAAAACCCACAACTTTGGGTTGTGACAGCTGGGACCAGCACAGTGCTGGCCCCAGCCTCCCCTACCCCACCCGGGGTAACCTGCCACACCCCAAAGGACATGTGGCACAGGCATTCCCCAGGGACAACTAGAAGCAGCACAAGTTGTCCCACTGCTAGTTGTCCCGGGGGTAACTAACACAGTCATGGAGGTTATCTAGAGTAGCATTGTGCTCTAATCAGATACAGGTGGTGTGGATAGCTGACTGATACCAAGTGCTTGTGAAAGTAGATCAGATACAAAGCTTGAAAATCTGGCCTCTTAGGACTTTTAACGTTTGCTTGGTACATTTCACATTGTTTGGCCCAGAGCAGTGCTTTGATCAAGCAAAGGATCTAGCTCAGGGGTAGGCAATGTTTTTTGGCCAGTGTGCCAAAAAAACCACAATGTCTACCTTGGAAGGTGCTGCAGCGCCGACATGCTGGAGCCCAGAGCAGCTGTTTGCGGCCTCCCGGCTGCAGCCAGCCCACAGAGCCAGGTCTGCTTGCAGCAGGGCTTGCAGCTTCCCAGCCACCTGCTGGGAGCAGCCTGGGCTCCATGACTGGCAGCAACTGCTTAGAGCTTGGGCTGGCGGTGGTGTGCCGAGCAAAATGACCTTACATGCCATGCTTGGCACGCGTGCCAGGGTTTGCTGACCCCGAACTAGCTCATGATAATTAGGCATATTTTATGTAAAGGTGGAAATGTCTCAAAAAGAAATGTTGACAATGTTTCTGGCAAAGTACCTGCGGGGCTTTAAATTCTGTTGTAAAGTACTACCGAAGTATATTTTTTTAAGTGAATGTATTATGAACATTTTGTAAAGTATCAACAAAACATCAGGATACCCTTTATGCAAATACTGTATCTGGGAATGGGCTGACCTTTCCTTATAGAAAGCAAATCAAGGTGAAGGTGTTGCACAAACTGCTAGTTTCGTGCCCCTGGAGGCTTGTCCAATTTACCTCAAGGAGAGAGTCACACACACACAGGCTAGGTCCAACTCGAGTTTATTGTTTGCGCAAACAGATCGACAAAGGAGCTGAGTTGCTCAAAGCAGAGTCGACCCGGAGCCGTGCCCGAGGTTCCACTTTTATAGATAACAAACAGAGGGTTTCAGCGTGTCGCGCGATTATTGGCAGCCTTACAATTTCCTTATTGTTACGTCTTGCCTTGCAGGTCGAGCTCAACTTGTTATTGGTTATTGTTTCCTATCGAGTTTAGCACATGCGTAGTCAAAAAGCAGAACTGCGGCAAAAGGTCCTGTCGCATGCGCAGTCCAAAAGCAGAACTGCGGCGAAACTAATGCCCCTTAATAACCTCTTATCTTGGTGTAACCCTAGTGCACTGAATAAGTATGGTTGCAAGATCTATGTGCAAAATAAGCCTTAATCTATATGCAGAAGCTATTGCAAAACATGTTGAACACAAAAGCGATTGCAAAGGCCTGGTGGCCGAATTATAACGTATTTTTACCACAAAGGTAAAGGAGATACTGTTTCAAGTAAGCATCTATTTGAATAAAAATTAATTGAAAAATCTTTAGATGTAGACCCAAAATGTCATGTCTGTTGTGCCACTAGTTAAGCCCATTTTTCTCTCTTGGGTGCCAAAAGGACTTTTTATTGAATGCCTAGAAATCAATATGCCTCTGTTTATTGGTTTTTGTCTTCTTACAATCTGTTCTTCTAATCCAAATCTGATAGGGCATTTTACCAGTAAAAATGAATGACTAAAAATGTTTTCGCAGGGGTGTAGGTTGTAGCCATGTTGGTCTAAGGACATAGGCAGACAAGGTTCCTTGGGTGAATCTGATATCTTTTATTAGACCAACCCAAATAGTTGGAGAATAGTTATAAGGAAAGCCTTCTGGTTCAAAAACCCTTCGTCAGGCTAAGGCAGTTTCAGCAGTCGGTGTGTACTCTTCCACTTTCATCCCCCTCTCCACTCTCCACCCCCACCCCTCTCTCACCCATTGACTCCTCAATCTATATTTTCACTGACTACCTGTCTTGTATGTATACCAGCCCAGCCTCTGACTTCTTTACTTTTCATTCCATCCAGGAAGAGCACACACCAACTGCTGAAACTTCCTTAGCCTGACGAAGGGTTTTTGAACCTGAAAGCTTGATTAATAACTATTCTCCAACTATTTGGGTTGGTCTAATAAAAAAATATCAGATTCACCCAAGGAACCTTGTCTGCCTAAAAATCTTTTCTGCTTCCATGGTACTTAACTTAAGAATTAAGTATTTTAGCAAATGTTGAAAGAGATAATATAGACTGTACACAGACTTCCATTTTCTCATAACTGTTTAAAAGTTTTTTTTCTTGAAGTTGAACCTTCCCATTCTTGCTCTAACCTCACAGGTGACTGTATCTGAGAACTAGAGGGAAAAGTTAACCAAAAAATACTGTTTTTAAAAGCCTAAAGCAAACATTTGTATTTTAACCTATTAGTAATCCCAAAAAAAGACTGATTAAGTGGGAAAACACCCTTAAATTGACATATAACAATTCCGTGATAAAATAGCTTCTCTTCTTAAGATTTTAAGAAAATACAGGGGTATAGGTTGTAGCCGTATTGGCCTAAGGACATAGGCAGACAAGGGTCTTTGGGTAAATTTGATATCTTTTATTTGACCAACTAAAATGGTTAGAAAAAATTCTTCTTCGCAAGATTTCGGGTACAAACACCCTTCATCAGGCTGAGGAAGGGTTTCTTCAGCCTGACAAAGAGTGTTTGTACCTGAAAGCTTGCAAAGAATTGTTCCAGCTATTTTAGTTGGTCTAATAAAAGATATCGGATTTACCCAAAGAACTTTGTCTGCCTAGGAAAATACAGTGCACTTCAGGGGGGAGTGGGGGTGGGAATCACTTCTGGCCATGTTCGTTGGGCATCTGCTAAAATTGTAGCAGCCTCAGGAAGATCCACTGTCTACCATATCATAGAGTGAAGGAAACTTGACCATTAAACTGTGCTGAGTTCAGTCTGCTGCTAGGTCTATAAATAATGAAACACATACCAGTAGCAGACACTTGTTGAAAGCTACCTCAACACCAGCAACATGAGAAGAGTAACTTTAAGTAGGTGAAAGTTGAAGTTATTAGCAAACAGAAATAAAAAATGGGATCATATAAATTCAGGGTTTTTCCTAAATCTTTAGAAATCTACCAATTCTAAGCTTTCACTGAAAGAATATAAGAATATTAAGTTTTTAAAAACCTTTTTCTGTTGCTAAAATACCACCATTAAAACATAAAACCTATGCTTGAAAATGAGATCTGACAAGTATTAAGGGCCAATACACTTTCTATCACTTTTAACATGACTAATCTCTGGTACAGAGATGATCCTGCAGTTTCTGATAGGGAAAGCAAATATACTGTCTCCTTCATTTTCCTTAGAATTAAAGTGCTGAAATATTAATCAGTTACATAAGCACCATAGTGCATCAGTGTTCACTGATTCAACATAGGTCTGAAAGAAATTAAGAGCTCTCTCCTTTCGCTTTTGAAGAAATGTTATGAAGTTTACACAATATCTGGCTTGCAGATTATTACATAATGTGACAATACTATCAGATCTCAGAAACAAAGAAGGCCTGGTCATCCCCAAAAAAGCAGATGCTGCAAGAATGTATTCTGAGTGATTTAGTACATTGTAGCCTCCTTTCTGCATTGTTGCTAAAATAATCCCTACTGCACTGGGTTAACGTACTGTTGTTTTGCTTTAGATTATGTCATTTATAGAAGATATAAAACTGACATCCAGACAATTTATAATGTTTCTCAAAGATAGGGGCATCAATCAAATTTTGTAGCCAAATTCTAGGTCAGGGCACAGTCTCTCTTCTAGCATATTCCCCTTGTAGTTTCACTGGAGACTGTATTGTTTTGTTGTGCACTGTTAAACAGCCCCAATATTGCATTCTGAGATGCTGTAGTGAGTGAACTTGATAGTATTTATAATCTGTACATTGACCTGTTAACTTTGCAAGACATTTGGGATTGAATATTACAATATTAAAATTGGTAACAGAGCACTTGTCTTTTTCAGTTCATTGGTATTATTATTATTAAAACAAACATCCAAAATATATATGCTCATATTCACACAATCAATTGTTATACATTAGCAAGATCTGAAAAGCTGCATCATGCAGGGGAGATGGAGGAACAGTTTTGGGGAATGAGTGTTGCTGCTTAACTGTGCCTGGATTATTCCCTAGGATCAATTCAATTAATATATAATTATTGGTGTAAAAATATAAACGTCTTCTTTCCTCATTCACATCTCATCCCATGTTACCTGCAGTGGTCATATTGGGAGGAAACATTCTACCATGTTGTCTATTGACAAGGGCAGGAGCAAATTATTTTGTGTATTTTGAGTCTGGTTCTGATATTAAATTAGGAGTATTTGCATGGGTGTAAAACTGGTGTAACTGACAGCAGTACAAGGCTCATCATGTTTTTAATCAGGTAAGCACACTCAGAAGTTGTGCAGTAGGAACTCATTCACCAACATAAAAATAAATTACTCTTTTGCAAATACTCTCTCATTCTTTCCTTGTGCTTCCCTATGTCAGCCTATATTCATTGGTTTTGCCTAGTTTTGTGAACTCTTTGAGGCATGGAGTGTATTTTTTTTTTCTTCTATGATTACACAGTGCCTGGCACAACAGGAACCTGGTCCACAATGAATTTCTACAAGCTACTAGGATTATTATTATTTCTACAAAAGTATTGGCATTTTCTATGAACTGTAGTAATTCTCCATTCATTTAAATTCAGACTTTAATTGACACAAACAGGACCTGCAACACAAACTCCTTGAAGAAAGGAAGCAACTCTTTAGTCCTTAGAAATCAAAGGGATGATGTATTCAGCCTTTGTTGTTTTTTCTTCGAATATCCTAAAAGGTCTGTAATTTGCTTCTCTCTGTGAAGCTGTCGCTTTCTGCTTCCTCTTCACAATGCCTTTATACAGTTTCCACTGCAGATCTTTCAGATTGAGAAATTTGATATGTTGTGTTTCTGAAAGCAGCAACAAGTTATTTATGATGTTAACATCATATGTAATGGCACTTTTTAGGAAAATGAACAAGAAACAGCTGTAACACTGCAGGGATGTCTGGATGTTCAGCAGTGCTATACTTTAATTTATTAATTTAGATGCCTAAATATGCATTTAGGTACCTATCTTTGGTAAGCTAAAAGGGAAAATTTGGCAGGTAGGCCTCATCCTTTTGTTGAAATTATTGGGGGGGGCAGGGAATTCTCTTCAACAGCAACAAAAACAATCTTCAGAGTTCAAGAGTACATACCCTTATTGCTAATATCAGCAAATAGGCAAAGCCTAATTAGACATCAATATGCAATAACTGTGTTGTCTCTCACCCTTTTAGGTGGCCCCTTTGTCCCATAGTTAAAGCATATTCATAGAGCAGCATGGAAAATTTGCATTGCCAATATCTGTTCTGTTCCTTAAAGGTCAAATCCAAAGGCTGCCTTGTTCCATTACAACTTTAACAACAGCTTCATCAACCAGCTGGGATCTCCTGGGTGTAGACCCTGTGGAGGATTTGTTGGGTAGTGCAAAGCAGCAAGTATCTAGAACCAGGTTAATCAGACACCTAGAAAATCTTTTATGTAGAGGAATCCCCAGGGAGCATAAGACACTGGATGAGCCAGGAATCTTTGGCTGCTGAAACAGCTCCTTTTTGCAGATAGCAGCTTGCACAACATCAAGCATGCCTTTCCATTTTTTCTCTGAATTGCTCCATAGCACAAGACAAACATCAGCCTGCTCAAAGCTCAGGAAACCTTAAAGATTATCTAGATATGCACTTTGCAGCCTTTCACCTGTGTCAGGAGTCTGTGTGCTTGATGCCCAGACAAGCTCCAGCTGGTCCTGATAACCTGGATGGGACTGACTGCCTGCTGCCTGTGTGCTCTCAGCTGACTTCCATTAAAGCTCTGTGAGCTTGCATCAAGACAGAGTCTTCTCTGTCTAGCCTCAGTGTTCCTGATTTCTGGCTTGTTCCATGATCCTTGGCTCCCCTCTGCCTTATTCCTGCCTGAATATTTTCCCTGCCTGCATTCTCTGTCTTCTTCCTGCCTGCTCCCTCTGCCCTAACCCCTTGACTCCAGACTCCCAGTAGGTGACCATTGTGGGACTGTGCCCCAACCTTCCACATCTGGGATGCACCCATGACCACTTGAAGTGTTTCTGAAGGCAAAGAGCCCAGTTTAGTATTGTCAGCTTGGCATGCGAGAAAAATAAGATGCAAAAATTCTATGGAACCAGAGTGCGCCTAGCATATGTCATTATAAATGCAATTAGTTTAGTGGAAAACAAAAGAGAGGCTAATTGCTGAGTTGGCATGGACTCTCCATTCTAGTATTCAAGTAGGAGAGGTGATATGATGCTATGATGGAGTCCGTCTTAGGAAGGTCACAGCATACGCAGATCAGCTTCAATAGTCAGAAAAGATCTGTTATAGGTCAGTGCAGCGAGACAGAAAAAAACAAGATAGTTGATACCATTTCACTTCAAGGCCCATTGATTTCACAGTCTATGACCTTGTTTCAATGAGACTGAAGGGTAGATCCAACTCCCACTGGAATGAATGACAAGATTTCCACTGAGCTGAGTGTGAGCAACATAGGGCTGGAAAGAATTAGTCATCCCAGTGCTGAATTACAGCCTAACTTACTAGATGCTGAAGCCACAGGCAGATGTTACACTTAAGATGTGATTAACCAGTTAATCATGTCTAAAATAGTAACCTGGCCAGCCACACATCCAGGCAATTAACGGCATACCAAAACAGGAAACCAGCCACAAAATTGTTCTATAAAATATGTGTAATTTTTTTGGCTGGTTTTCATATTGCCTTAATGGTTTCCATATTGCCTGGATGCCTGCTGCATGGTGAGGCTTGGTTGGTAGCTCCCCTGTGTTGGTAGGAGGACAGCCCTGTAGTGCAGCCTCGCATAGGGCTGCACCTTGCTGTTTTCAAGATGCCAAGTCAGGGGAGCTCATGAGCTGAACCAGGGGTGGTAAGTCACAGGGAGCCTCTCAGGTGCCTATGACTTGGCAGGTTGTCTGTCCTGCCCTGCAGCTCCCAAGGAGCTTCAGAGTAAGGCACTTGACACATCCCAGCCACTGGGAGCCTAGGATGGGGAGAGATTCTCTGATCCTGGAGTCCCTGTGCACCAGAACCTTTAAAAATTGTGTGCACAACCCAGCTGCACATATGGTTTTCTAACATCCCCAGTGCATGTGGACCCTGGGATTGGCAAACCTCTCCTGGGTCTTGTGGTCCCATGCACTGGCAACTTGAAAAACCATATGTGCAGTAAGGCTGTACATGAGGTTTTTCTGACACCCCTGTGCTTGGGGCTCTGGGATCCAGTGTGATCCCAGGGTTAAACTGACAATCAGCTGATTGTAAATTCCAGCCTTGGGACCACATGAGTCTCCAGCTGGCTCTCATGTGGTCCCAGGGCTGAGCCTGACAATCATCTGGTTCTTGGTCCCAGCCCTGGAACTGCACCAATTCACCAGACACCCAGCTCTCAACTTGCCAGTGCAGGAGGGGTGATTGTTGGGATCAGGGAACAGATCCCATAGTGCCATTAAATGAACATGTGCTAAGGGCCTGAGACCATGGAAAATACAGTCACTCCATGTGCCTGCCATGATTTTGTCTACTTTGAGATTACATGTTTTTATAGCAGAATAAATGATGGAGATAAACATAGTAGACTGGTGAGCGCATCTGCCACCAGTGCAGGTTTTTTCTTTATGGAATATTTAGTAATGCCCTAGGTGGTCTGTTTTCCTATGTCTCAAGTCATAATGACTCCCATCATTTTAAAATGACTTCTTATGATGATGCTGGAGGTCCCACAGTCAGAAGTCATTGGATACTCAGTCTATGTTTTCCCTTTCTTAATTCTATGCTGTTGCTCTTAACTAATCTCCCTTGTACTATTTTATGTCATTCATAAATAAGCATAAGTACAGATTGCTCACCTTCAATTTTTTGCAACTCAGAAATGGGAGAAATTTTAGATAAAGGCTTGGGCTTTTCCTTTTTCCAGAGGCTCAATGTAAAATACTGTATCCTGCATAATATTTCTCCTTTGGAACATTTGGATTTGATTGAAGAAGTTGACAAGGGAAGACAATTTCTGATTAAAAGCACGTAAGGAAGCATATGCTCTGGCAACTGTCTGCTGCGTTTAGGTTTTCTGTGTCCTCTAGCAGTAGAATGCTTTGTCTTTGATTTAGACAGCCACTTTAAGCAGGCAGACAGAAATTTGTTTGCAGTTCTCACTGCTGTTGTGAGTGAATCAGCACCTTCCTTTGCTACATGTTCTTGTGACCCACTGCATAACTCATGAGGTAGCAAATGTTGTTTGTTTTTTGCTTCAGTCTCCCAGTTATTAGATTTTATTGCAAAACGCACTGTATGGAAGAGAGATGCATGTGTTCCCTTCAAAAGCAACTGGTGTGTTGGCTCTCCATTCTTAACATTTGCAAGACATGACAACAATTCTGATACCTACAAAAAATATAAAATATATTTCTAATTTCCAGTGGCCCAGACCTGAAAAAGAACTCTGATAATTATTTAAAAGTTTTTTTCTTTGACTATGGGTAAAACCTAGGCTTCATGATTGGGACTCCTATGGTGCTAAGCATCAACAGATACATAGAACAAGAAGATAATCCCCGTGTCAAAGATTTTACAGTCTAAAAGTATGATGAGAAGCAACAATTGCCAAGAGGTGAAGAAGGCAGAAGTGAAATTACCATATATATTATATAAGCAGTACTTACAGCCCATCCATGATGATGGTGATATTTTTAGGATACCTTCGTACTATTATACAAAGATACAAATACTTTTTCTCCTTGCAGGAAGTTCCAAAGTTTAGATTTTCTAGACGTTATAACAGATTGCAGATCTCACTGCCTGCTAAATATAAAACTTCTGTAATTTTCCCCATGATGACCTAACTAAGAAACGGCTCAAAGTTGGTTTTCAAATCTAACTAACCTGGAACTACAATGGCAGTAGTGTAACAATGACTGGATGAGTGGGGCATGAGCCCCAGGCACTGTCTAAGGAGGGGGTGTTTGAATGGAGGTGGGGGAGCACCCTACCCCCCTGTCCCCCATGCCTCCTGCCTGCACTCTCCACCCTCCCTGCAGCAGCTCCAGCAGCAGCGGGAGCGCAAGAGGACTGGTTGGAGGTTTCCAGCTGTAGAGATGGCGGGGTGGAACTGGAAGGTGACTGGGGATGCTGGAATGGAGCTGCCTCACCCTTCTATCTCTCATACCTCCT